AATAGGCGGCGGCGGCGGCAGCAGCAGCAGCAACTGTCCGCCTGTCCAGCTGTCCGAACCGCCGGCTTCCCAAGTTTTAAAATACATTTTTGCCCAAATGGCCGAAACAAAAAAACGAAATGCGCATCAAAGGCACTTCAAATATCAGCATAATCGTTGCCAGAAAATGAGCTCCGAGCCAACTGAAGCTGAAGACGTAGTAGGTGATGCAGGCACCACAGGCAGTTGCCACACCAAAAAGTCGAAACATTAACATGTAAAACTATTCAAATTTGATGGGCCTTCAGTTATCCTGTAGTAGATGAGAGCAGCTGGCAAGGATATGTTATATGTGCATAACACAGGTAGAAAGATATGTAATATACATATGTATTATACATGATGGAACTGGTCTGATTGATTCAGTGTTTTAATCAATTAAAAATTAGATTTCATAGATCATGTGACCCCTGAGGTTGTACTAAATATAATTTATTAAGATCTATAACAACTTACAATTAAAGTATTCCCCATAATATAATATCTATATATACATTGGAATTTGGAAATTTCAACGACTTCTGTTACATCATTAACATATTTATTGATCAGCTTGTTTAAGTCACATTTATAGGGTATCTGGAGCAGGCTCTTATGAATGAATAAGGGCAGCAAACATAAGCATTCACACACACTCACTCACCCGCTCATATTCATGCCCATTCCCACAAATCACATAAAACCGAATGAAGTGGAAGTTTGCGGCAGACAGCGCGGGTTTCTTCCTTTTGTTGTTCTTGTTTTTGTTGCTGTTGTTGTTGCAGCTGGCTGCGTTGCCAAGTTTTTAAAAGCTATTTTTAGGCAGCTTCGTTTTTTTTTTTTGTTATATGAAGCAAGACATATGAGAGCAGTGCAAGCGAGTTTAGCTGACTGCCTAATATTTGTTCGATGTAAAAGAAAAACTGAATCGGCAAACATAAATGCTAATGCCAATAAGCTCTTTCACTGCTCATGACAGAGTATCAATGTAATGAAAACGAAATTTGCAAAATTAATTTCGTGCTACAGCTAGGAGCAAAGGGTGCCCCAGCTGAATGGGGGCTTGTGGCAAACGTTTCTGTGGAAACGTGACAAAACTTGTGGCAAGGAAATGGACGGCAGTTGGCGACGATTGGCAGCAATCGATAAAACACGATCATGACCAGCAGCAGCAGCAGCAGCAGCAGCAGCAGCAGCAGCAGCAACACCAGCAACTGTTGCACTTAATTGAGTTGTGGCCTTACAATTGCCCCAGCGGCGTGGCAATTGTTGAGTTGTTGCCACAAAATGGGGCGTTGAACAATTTGCTGGCCGGCCTGCAGCATTCGGCACGCGCGATAAGCAGCTGCAATATAAGCACCTCTTATCGCAGACAGATGCAACTATTAATTGGCACAGCATGTGCGCCAATGGTCTCATGCCTCTTAGCTTCAGCAGAAATATTACCGAAAACAATGCTCCCCGTCCGTCCGTTCATAATCGGAGTGTTGTGGGTGTCTTGTTGTGCCGCTGCTGCATCGTGTACCGTTAACTTGCCACAAATATGGCCGGTGTTGACCCCCCGGGGAAGGCGTTGCAACCATTGCACAACCAAATGCCAGCGACAACATAGTGCAGAGCAGCAGCAGCAGCGGCAGCAACAGCAGCAGCGGCAGTGGCAGCGGCAGAGGTGGAGACGGGGGCGGACAAGAGTTAGTCAATTTGATCGACTGCCTTTAATAGAAATTGTCTAGCCAATTGGCAGCTGGCGGGTCGAGCTGTGTAGGCAATGCATTTATGTACATAAGTAAATTTGTCCGCATTGCCAAGTCAAACAAGCCATCAACAGCTTGGCCAATAAACGTGCCCAGCGTTGCCAACTCTTTCAACTGTTGCCAACTGAGCTAATAATGACAAAGCTCACCAATGCTGCAACAACAACAATTGAGCAACTGATGTTTGTCTACAATCAATATGCATTTATTTATGATTCATGATGTGTCATGATGAGAAATTTCCTTAAACAAATATACCTTCATATTTGTCTTTAGATATATGTGCAAAATATTAAAATTGAAAAAAAAAAAATCTTCCTTTTGCGAATAACTCGACAAAAATCGTTTAGTATGGAGTTCGTAAACTCCCTAAGGTCTGCTTGCATAGCTCGTGAAAGCTACACCAAAGATGGGATATTTGTTTGCTTAGGGAATTTTATATAAGCTTAATATAACTTTATCTACATGGGGCTGTTATATGGTATTTAATAGATTGATTTAGTAATATTTGGTTTCTTAAGGTACTCTATATAACTTAGTTCTCAAACTGTTCTAAATGACTGCAAAGAAATGAAATTGGACATCGATATTAATGTTTACTTTTTAAGAGTATATATATTATCTATTGATTCTAATCTATAGATACAGTGTTCTACATTTTATTAGTACATAAAATTTTTTGGGTATATACATATATAAATAGATTATGATCTACATTGTTTTAATATATAGTTTTTCTATAGTTTTCTATTGAGACTTTTAATTATAGTAAAAATATGAATCCATAATTATTCAAATATAAATTAATATTTTTTGCAATAAGACTAATCAATGATTATTCAAATTCAAATGTCGTTTATATTTTGCAGCAAAATTGGACAAAAATTCATATTTTCTAAATATGCGAAATCACAGCGAAACTTGAAATAAGCTCAAAAATTGTCGTTCTTGAAGCAGCTAAAAATCAATACAATCTAAAGCAAATTATGACAGTTGTTTGATCTTGTGGCAAAACTTGATCTTCAAAAACAGGCTGCGATCAATTTGTATTGATTAATTTACGACTGATTTAAAAAACCATTTTTTTTTTTTTTTACTTTGCATTGCTAAATGTATTGTCTACTTTTTGGCTGGCCTTCAAAAAGCGTGTGCTGAGAGAGTAAAAGAGAGAGAAAGAGAGAGAGTGAGTGATTGAGCATGAGAGGCAAAAGCTGTTGGCTAATTGCGTCGCAATCAATTCGCTAACAGCAACAACAACAACAACTACAAGAACGGAACACCTTAGCAAAGCACATGTCATTTTTTTATTATTATTATTTCATGCTTGGTTGTTGTTATTGCTGTTGCTTGCTGAAGCTTGCTAATTATTGTCATAGGTTAGTGTAGGCAGAGTCCAACAGCAACAGCAAACGAAAGTCATAAATAAAAAAGAGCAGAACTGAAAGCTGATGTTGTTGTTGTTATGGCTGTTGCTTTTGAGCAGCTGAAAGCAAAAGTGTTTTCAAGTTTCAGTCTCAATAGTTGTTGTTGCTGTTGTTGCTTTGCCATTTTTATGGCACTCTGTTTGGCATTTTAAGCATTTTTACAGCAACAATGTTGCCCACACACACACACACAGAGGGACACACACAAGCTCATATAGAATATACAGCAGTCGCAATAATTACCAACTAACAACAACAACAACTGAAACTGGCCCAAGCATTAGGCAATAAGCAAAAATTTTCTGGCCTGACATCTTTTGTGCTTCAATTTTATTATGTATTTTTTTTTTTTTTTTGTATTTTTTTGTATTTTTGTATTTTTGCTGTTGTTGGAATTACATTTTTAGCATGTTTTTAAGTGCTTTGGCAGTTTGTTTTTTTTTTTTTTTAGTCTTTTTTGGAGGGCAACTGCCGCTGCTGCATATGTTGCCACGCATTTGAGTTGGCATCTTGTCAAAGTGAAACATGTGGCAAGCAGCAACAGCTTTATGATTTTATTTTATTTTATTTTTTTTTTGTCGTCGTCTTCGTCGTTGTTGTCCATCAGCTTATAAACAAACATTGCATTGGGTCTGTCATTAGAATGGATAATTGTGGAAGACGGCACAAACGGAACGACTTGATTGACAGCCATAAGCGGCCAGCCAAAGCAGCTGGTCAAATGCGGTGGCCGGGGCGGAGCGTGTGGCAGATGTCAACTGACTTGTTGGCGTTTTATGTGGCATACACAAATACACACACACACACACACGCACGCACACGCAGACATGCTTGTTTAAATATATGAGCAAACACACATATAGCAACATTCTTGCAACTTATAGATTATCTACGTTCGCACCGCATTTGGCGATGGAATCGAGCTGAAGCTCAACCAAATGACAGATTACGCTTAAGTAAAAGTATCTCTTACAGCTGTAAGCTGTCTGCTTAGCCGATACCCTATGCATAAGTTGGCTGTGTTTGATTGACAACATGTGCTGGAAAAGCAGTTTATATTATTTGACAAAGCAATATATTGATAGAGCTTAATTATGTTTTCACTTATTTATTAACCTTGTGCGCTGCTCGAGCTCTATTGAAGCTACTTATATAAAAGCCTTGCATATATCACACAGCGCACTATAATCTTGTTTAGATAAAGTGTTAGGCAGCTATTGCTATGCCCACTGATAACAAAACTGGCATGATATATGTATGTACTATATATAAATTTTACAACTGTTTTTAATTGCCTTAAGAACTAGGCTCAACTGGATTTATATGACGGTATAAAATTTTATGTTTAATAGAAACAAATAATACATGAAAATATATTTATTTATTATTTATCAGAAAAAATATAGATATAACCAAATGCTATATATAGAAAAATGTATATACAATATATATATAAATGTGTTTTGTTTTTTTTTTTTTTTTTAAATTTATATTACAAAATATATGTATTCAATCAAAAAATATTTATAAATTTGTGAGGGTAATAATATATATTTGTGTAAATATATAAATAGCACACTACAAATGTATTATTTTTTTTTTATTTATTTATTTTTTTTTAATTTTTTTTTTTATTTTTTTTAAATTTATATATGAATTGTTGCAACAAAAGTAAAATGGTTATAAAAAATTTTGTTTAACACGCCGAAAGTGTTTACATATAAAAAGAGTATAGACCAGTTGTTCTATTGAGTTTCTCGTTCTTTCGCTCTATGCGCAACTCAACTTTTTTTTCTTTTCCTAATTTGCATTCATCATCAGTGCACAAACTAATTGCAAACTTTGTACGAGTGTGCGTGTGTGTGTGCGTGTGTGTGTGTGTGCGTTGCGCTGTGCTATTTCTATTTTTCACATTTTCCACATACAGTTAAACATACAGACACACACACATACACACATAGTCGTGGAGGGTTAGCGACCGCAAAACTATCTGACATTAGATTGCGATGGCGGCCAAACGACAACAGCCGACGCCAGCAGCCACAGTTGCTGCCGCTGCCGCTGCTGCTGCTGTGTTGTTGTTGCAATCAGCGTTGGCGACGTTTTTTGTGCCATTTGGCACGTACGTTCTACAGCGCGAGAGTGAGAGGTAGAAAGAAAGCAAGACTGAGAGAGTATGTGTGTGTGAGAGAGAGAGAAAGAGAGAGTGAGTGGGTGAGAGAGTGGGGGCAGTGCACAATTATGACACACGCTGCCAATTGGATGTACATTTGCGAGCGATTGCTATTGCAGCAACATGTTGCATGGCAACAGCAACAGCAACAGCTGCAGCAAAAATATATTTTTTGGTCAGGCGGAATTGTTTATGTAGAATTTTTAAGTGCAAACTCCTGTTGGAAGCACACACACACACACACATTGTGCAACACAGATTTTTATCTGCTTGCAGCAGCAGCAACTATTGCTGTTGTTGTTGTTGTTGCTTGGAAAGAGTTAAAGTTGTAGATCTGCCAGGCAGATTGTTAGCGCACGCTTGATTGAACGTTTCGCTTTTATTGCCACAACAAATCAATTTTTGCCAGCTAAGCAGCAGCAACAACATGTTGCAGCAGGCACTCCCCAGAGCGCTGTTGATCAAAAACTTCAGACTACTTTGTACCCACTTGCAACAGCGCTGCAAACGCAAACGCAAACGCAAATGAAATGTGTGTTTGTGCATTGTCTATGCCATTGCAACATGCCACGTTTTTCAACGTTTCTTTTTTTTCCAACGGTTGCAACTTTGCAGCGCGTTGGTGGCGCCGCCGCCGCTGCTGCTGCAAATTCGAAAATTGCAAGCCTCGGCAACGCGTCGGCGTTTCATTTTTATTGCCCATGTAAAATATACATCAATTGACGGCCCCTGGGGGGCGTGGTTGTGTCTATGATTTCTTAATTGATTTAGCAGTTGCCTCAAGAAGCAAGACAGTCGAACGATAAAAGGCAGTGAATTAGATTGATTCGACTAATGGATACCCTGTAAGCTCAAGTGTCTCTACTGTAGGGCATAGCAGAACAGCTCTTAATAGATATTATTGAGCTCAAAGCTATATACTCAAAATAGTTCAATACGGAATTGTCTAACTATTTGAAAAAATTAAAAACTTTCTATATAAATTCAATATCTAAACTTATTTATTTTATTTTATTTATTTATATTTAATCAATTGATCTCACAATGGGTTGTATGTTTGAAGATGTTTTAGATGTTTAGCTTGTATTCCACATTTAATTTTGATAACTCAAGTAACTCTTCAAAGACTGCATAGTCATTCCCTTAAATTTCCAGGGTACTTGCTATGTTATGCAAAAGCGCAGATTGTTGAACGTTGCTCGAATAGCGGAAATGCCCTCGGCGCGTTAATGTAAAACAACGCCCACAAAAAAAAAGAAAAAAAGAGAAAGAGAGAGAGATAAACAGATATCGCAAAACAACAACAAATTGATCATCTACCTATGCAGCTGCCTATCAGAGTCAGTCTTGAGCTGGGTCTAAACAGCTGTAAGCCTCGAATTTATGGGTTTCACATCTAATTTATGTGTGACGCATACTTTATTTTTATTTTTGGCTTTACAATTTTTGATTTTACGATTCGGATTTTAATTTCGTGTTTGATCTTATTATGTTATCAGCTGTGCTTTTGATGTTGTGCCGTGGCTTTATTTATTGGCCAGGTGACCCGTTAACGTTATTAATTAACAGCTGTGCGCTTATTATGTAAATTAGCTACAGATGTGATGCCAGACAAGCAACAACAACAATAGCAGTCAATGTGGGGGCAACCACACAACGAGACAAAAGCTATATACATATATAAATTTATGTATTTATGGACATATCAAGGTAAAGCACATCAACTATATATATATCAGACTTTGATAGCATTTGCTGTTTGCATTTTGTGTGAACTACTCACGTTTGTATTAGCCGTAGCGGATGAGTCATCTCTATACAGATAAATGTATATATATAGGAAATGTCTGTACATACCTGCAATAGAGAGAGCGAGAGAGAGAGAGACAAAGTTAAGATTAGTTTTATCACATATATGAAAACTATATATTACTATATCTAATATAAACGTTAATACATAATAGTTCTGGTTTAATTAGTGGCGAATACAACTATAAATCTTGGCTATATTGAGGAAATGTTTGCTTAATCTAGATTTTAGAAAATAGAAAATCCATATTCAAAACACAGATTGAGTTCAGCTTATGATAATCATTTAAGTATTCAATAATTTACGATTCCTATTTCATGTTCAATTTATAGGAAGATTTCCGATTTAATTTAAAATAGAAACATTGATACTTTAGTGAAGATTTATAAAGCAACATCTAACAATTTTTTAGTTGATATATCAGCAAAGTTGTTAAACTCTTTATCAACAACAGCAATGATTAAGGCTAAGACTATCTCATATGCAATTCATTGCAGTAAACGTGGCCATTTTCTCTCAGCAATAAATCGCAGTTCATTCCTTTTAAAGATGGCCCACTATTTGTGTGAGCTGCATATGTGCTTAGGCCAACAATTTTAAGTAGTTGCCGGAGTCTATAATTTAGCATTAAGTTATGCAGAGATAAACGCAATGCAAAGCAGATGACTGGTGACTGGGGAAACGGTGCATGCATCATCTCTTTGTGGCGCATTGTCTCTCAAACAATTGGCCAAATACAAAACCAACAATTTATTTTACAATCAATTTGACAAATGCTCAAAGCCTGCACACATATATGGCCTGAGGCAGATAAGCGCACAGAGACTGGCCAACTGACCAGCTGGCTAGGCTGCATAGGCTGGCTAGCGGGCTGGCTGGCCCCAGTCGAGTAAACATGGATTGGCAACAAGTAGTCGGCCGTTTGCGGCAAGCATCGTAAACATTTTTGTTTGTGGCCAATTGTGTGGCACATAAATTGCGTCGAAATACAGCAGCTGATCTAAGCTTAGAGCTTTTGGGTCAAAATGTCTAAATTAACAATGGGCGAGATTTGCTGGCATTGACCCACACACACCCATATGGCTAATGTTGTGGGTGGGTGCTATTCGAGGGTCAACGCAGCCGTTATGAAAATGTATGCGTGACGCACAAAAATGGAAACAAAATTATTCAAAAGCATGCGATGCGGGCACAGGTGAAACAGGTGTGTGCTAAGGTGTTAATTACAAGAGCGAGACGCAAACACACACACATGTGCACACAGACACCTTGTCTGTGTGTTAATTAAATTGAATCTCATTAAGTTCAAATTACATTCAAAAGTTGTCGCCCGTTTGTCATTTGTCACAGGCGCCGCACAGCGCCTGTAATTATGCAGCGCTAATCGTCAATGACGCCGTCTAAACAACAGCCTGTCCACCTCACCACCTCCCAGATGTCTACCCAGAAGTATGTATGTATATATTGTTAGTTATTGGCCAATTGCTGGCATTCAAGAACACGCCAAAACAAAGTTTATTTGCTCTCGACTGTAGGTGTCACAAATCGTGATAGCGTTTGAAATTTATTTCAGCTATGCCAAAATCTTGGGAAATCGTAGTTTTAAGCAAATCAAGAAAATACACTGAGAATATTTGTGAGTGCTTAACATTAAAGACTTTTGGCAGCCCTGAATTGAAAGAAAATCAAAAAATTCGAATATTAAATGATAAACAAATAAAATAAAAATAATATAACCGTATGTGTACAAATTGGGGCTGTGGAATATCCAAAAAGTGGATCCACACAACGTTCTTACTTATTTTTGCACAGAGTAGTGTGTGAAGAATAGAGGGTTAAAAAAAAATTAAAATAAAAATTAATTATTTAATTGCAAAATCGAGTTTTATTTTAAGCATAATCTAAATTGAAAATTTTCCACATCTAAAACTTTTTTCGCATATATTAAGTGCAAATATTTAAATAGCGTAAAAAACTGCATAACTGATTTGCAATTTATGCTCAAATGCAAGCGAAATATATATATATATACAAAATAATAAAATAAAATACTTCAAAAAATAATTTGTTATTTAAATGATATTCGACACGTTTCGGCGCTCGTTTGTTTGTCTCGTCTCGTCGCTCGTCTCGTTAACTGTTTGCGTTTGTTGTTTTATGCACATTTTTGGTTTGTTGTCATGGACATCCATTATGGGTTGTTGCCGTGCGGTCATTACCATGAAAATCGCAACCGAACCCCCTGCCCTTGCCCCTGCCCGCCTCTCTCAACTTTGCACACAAAAAATATTTTAATTGATTTTGGTGTGAAAAATATGTTTGCTTAAAAAAAAAATCAAATAAAATATGAAAAACTGTCATGAGAAGTGCATATTTTTTGTTAGTAAGGCTAAATCGAAGGACGCATCAATATGCACACATTGAGCATGTGGGAGTTTGACAGTCTGCAGTTAAAAGCTTTTCCAGTTCAGACAACATAAATAACATGATTATTTTTTGCGAATTCTTTTGCACTTGTGGTTTTTTAATGTTCCAATGAAATAATTTTTACCTCGCCCTTAGAGCGAATTTCTATAGTTGCTCGAGTTCAACTAATCGGCGCTCATAATTAACACATTTAGCTAATAACTTCGAGTGAAATAAACAACATTAATCACGCTCTAATGGCGAATTAATAAGACAAACAGACCAGAGGGCTGAGGGCAATATACACATTAGCTTCATTTCCTCAAGCCAACTTGGACCATTCGCTGTTGGCTGCTGCCAACATTTCTAGCAACTTTCAACACACACGCACACACATACACATACATACATACAGTCACATGTGTATTTGCGAAGCGGCTTTTCCAATAACAATAAAATAAATCTTGGCCAAGAAAAACAGATAAAAACCGCATTAGCTGGCCATAAAGCAAACTGGCCAAAGGCAGAAGGCAAAGCCCACTATGCTCGCAGGTTAACAACAACAACAGCAACAGCAACCAACACGGCGACAATGACAAAGACGGCGACAGCAATGTCTGGGGACAGACGGCAGCGACTTGCAGACAGACAGTTAGACAGATAGTCAGACAAGTGCCAAGTTAATTGCATTAAAAGTGAAATAAAAAGCGAGCGCGATGGCAGCTCAGATAGCAAAAATTATGAAGTGCAGTTGTTGCTGTTGCTGGCTGCTGCTGGCGTTGTTACTGTTGATTGAGGCGCATAATCAGCGGGGCGACGCCATCGAGCGCATTAAGTTGTTAACAGAAAATGTTTGCTTCATTTGCGCTATGATTGCTCTGCAAGCTAGACAAGGAGCAGGTGAAAGCGAGAGAGAGAAAGAGGCAGGCAACATCCGGTGGGTCAGGCGTTGGCTTAGCAACATCTGCCGCCAACTTGTTGCCAGGCAATGCAAAAATAATTGCGGTCTCAATCAACTCGCTACCTTCTACCCTCTACCTCATTCACGCACGCACTCCCATTGCTCCCTTCCCCCCTCTCTCTCTTTCTCGCTCTCTCTTGTTCACTTCATCGCCATCCGTCATGCGTTCGTTTGCGCAACATTTCTTGGCACTCTTGCCACATTTTCTTATCTATAAATAGTTTTACTGCCCACGCCGCGGTCAATAAACTCGCGACACATGCAAATTGCACTGCTGCCAGCAGCAGCAGCAGCAGCAAGCAAAATGCAGCAGCAACCAAATGCAAACAATTAGCAGTTGAAAAAAAAACACACACACACACGAAAAGTTAAACAGTAAAACAAAAGCTGCAAAAGCTTGCCTAAAATGATCGATGTACATAAATACCCTATATATGTAAAATGGGTATGCTCACAAATTATAATGATCAAATACTTGATCAAAAAATAATAATACTATTATTATTGAATTTTCGTTGAATTTGTATTCGTATATTTACTTATTTTACTTCTCTCCTTATTTCTACTTGCTCTGCCTTCATTATCAGTCGCATATACCCCTTTTCCCGACGCTCATACGAACAAAAAGTAGTACCGACCTATCGCACACTTTTTGTCATTGGGCCGTTGTCGCCGAGCTGCTTTTTTTTCCTATTATCAGACAGCGACGTTGCCGTCGACGTCGACAGCGCAGTCATGTAATGCGCGTAACAATTTCATTTTGTTAAAAAAAAAAAAAACAACAACTATTCGCGCTCTGCCATGCATTGTTGTTAGTTTCATTTAATTTTTTTTTTTTGCGCGTTTCTTTTGGGCTTTTGTTTCGCTTTTGTTGCTGGCTGTTTCCTCTGCTGCTGCGCCGCTCTTTGCATTTCATTTGCCGTTTTTAGTTGGCAGCAACGTCGTCCATTGCACTCCGTTGCCTAATGTTCGACTGCCGCTGCTGCTGACGTGGGCGGCCCCCATATATATTTAAGCAACACAAACTGCGCAGCGACTGCGCTGCTGCAGCGATCTTGGCCGTTGCAACGGCACGTTAACAAATCGCATAATGAAATTCATCATTTATAGTTGTTGTTGTTGTTGTAGGTAAATTTGACTAATTGCCACAAGCGATGTCATTTTTTTATTCGTTTTTTTTTTTTTTTTTTTCAGCCGGCTTTGATGTTTGTAGCCGATAGTTGCACTTGTTGCCTGTTTTTAATTTTCATGTGCAACATGCTGCAGCTTTGTAATTAGGCGAATGCTTGACTTTTAATGCTAAATGCCGCTTGTTGACATTAATTTGCATTGTTTTTATGTAGCGTGGGGGAAAAAACATTAAAAAAAAAACAAAAAAAAATCGAGGATCGTGTTGTTTAACAAATTTTATTTTTGCCTGGCGGATGTTTGGCTTCGTTAATTTTTTTCTCTGCTTTTTTGCCAAAAGAAACTGGCACACCGAACTGTAAATACAAGTGCAATATAAACAGATTCCAAATCTAGCATGAATGTAGTGCGGAGAGGTTGATATACTCTATTAAAAAAAAAAAAAACAGTGTTTTGGCATGAGTTAACGATGAAGAGATACCCTAAATGTAATTATCGATAAGCTACTCCATTCAAGCATTTCCTAAGATCTATTAAGAAGTAGATAAAATT